GCTGCCACGGAAGCCTACTTTTCAGACCTCGAGGAAACGTATTTTTCAGACGAGTTAAAGAAGTTGGAGCATCGCTGGGCCAAGTGTATCGAACTAAAAGGAGACTATGTTGAAAAATAAAACGCCACTTTTCCAAAATTTTCGTTTTTCTTTTGTAGGCAAAAAGGCAGGGAGCTGTCCGTCACCGATTTTCTTTAAACTTTGCATACGATTAGAGTATCAAAAAATATTAGACACGTATTTTTTTTTAGCGGCTCATACGGTAATTTAGGTAGTAAAAACAGGGTTGCCAAATATAATTATCTACATACGCTTGAAGTACATAAGTTGGCGAGACGCTAAATTCAAATTATCATATCTCGGTGAAAGAAAAAGATATCTGAACGACTCAAAATTCATTTTGAAGGGAAAGACTCATACTTTAAGATATATTAATTAGTTTGGCTGAAAAATATTATCTTATGATCTTACATAACCTCAAATATGTGTAAAAGTCGTGTTTTTTGCACTTGAAAAGATTTACAGTGTTTCTTTTATAATGTTTTTTGTTCTTACAAATGGGAAACTCCGTTTTTTGGGTCCAATTCCAAAAACTGGCCCAAATCTGGCTCAACTTGAAAATTTCAAATGGAAACTACTGTTGCTTATGGCAGATTCGAATTATGGGGGAAATTACACGTTCAAACGTGATATCAAATTTTACCGAAAAAATTTGTATTTTGAGTCCCAAAGTGGCACCAAAAATAAAAACCTGTGGTTTTTGGGACTTTTTGAATTTCACAAACTTCGCTTGTTTTTGTTTCTTAATTTTTTTCTATTGTTTATTATAAATATTATGCAAATTTTTTTGAAAAATTATTTTTACGCAGTTTTTCTGGCTCAAAAAATAATTTTATTTTAGTTAAAAATTTTTCTGAAAAAACTATTATCAACCAGTTAACAGTTTATTTTGATTTCCGTTATTATTCTTATTATTATATTGTTATTATTAGGAGATGTATTATTATGAATTGATATTGATTTTCTTATGTTCCTCATCGTATTGTATACCTATAATCTATGTATTACATTGATGTGCATATGAATATAAAATCTTATCACCAAATAAATAATTTTGTATTTTAACAGCATTAATTATATATATTGCAACGGTAGTCGATTCAATTAATCGAACCGTTCGCGATTCTGATTTTCGCGAAGTTAGTTCTAAGTATTGAGAGAGAGAGGGGGCGCGCGATCTTTTGAATTAGCAGTTACATCTCAGCTGTTACTTGTGTAGTACCGCCAAAATAGTTTAGCACAGTGTTTCACCGATTTGCCAATAAATAGTTTATTTGGATTTTGGATACGTGTGCAAGGGTGAGCGAGGAAGCAGCGACAGTAGCAGCATCACGGAAGCAGCAGCATAAGCAACAGCTAATATACAGCAGATTTGCGATCGAGGCAGCACAGCTGATTCTGATCTGAGGAGCACCTTTAATTTGCTTCAACAATTACGGCTGATCACCGTAATTGCACCGCAGGGTAGGTGCACCTCCCTTAATTATCGTGTGACATAATATATTTGATATTTTGTCCAACGGTGTTAGCGTTAATTTTTTGTATTCGCGTCGAGCGTTAGATCGCGCCAATATTCGTATCTTCTCTCTCTCTCTTTCTCACCGAAAGTAATTTAATTGTAAATCCTATTCGCGTGCGTTAGTCTTTCGGCCCGACAAAGACTGTAGAGATTTTTATTAATAAAATCTATTAAACTTATTCGCCGATTTCGTCATATAATTTTTTCCTAGTAGTTTAAACAATTGGAAAAAGCTTAGGTTTTAATCCTATTATAGCTAGGGGATTAAGTGGATTAGGAGCAAAGTCGATTACACTTAAAACTCATCGAGTATCACAAGGCACGTGACTTAAGGTGAGTTCAACTCTGCTTGATCGAAGACAACTAAGTTAAGGCAGCTGACGTTAAGGCGAATACACGTATTAACATACGTGTTAACGGAGCGGCGGTTTGCTCTGCATCGTGGGAGTTTGTTCTTAAATAAATTTCTCATTTTTGCAGCTATCCCCCCCGTTACAATATAACAATAATAGTAATAAAAATATTGCAGACACTTCGTTGTTATTCTTTTATTGACCACTGCAAATGCGGAAACCGCGATTGATTAATCACATTGATACTAATATGCGGAAGCAGTGCCGCAATAGTTAACCACTGGATATTTTTGACAATGTTGTTCGGTTTTTGTTATCTTTATAATATTATTTTATTTTGCTCATAAGGAAAAATATAAAAACACGTTTTATGAAAGGTCGAGTTTAGTTTAAAATTGTACTTGTATCGCATAACACCTGTATATATTCAGTAAGTGCCAATGCATTTAGATATACAATTCATATAAAAGATTGTTTATAAAATTGTTAAGACTACTTGAAAATAATTAGTTTTACTATCATCGAAAATTCTGTGCTCAGAATTTTATTGCGTGACTTTTCAAATCAGACTTTTCACTATTCGTACATATTGGATACTATATATATTTAAAAAATGCCTGTTGATGCAAAAGTTGTAACAACCTTACTTTCAATGACATTTGATCGGAGCAATAATGGCGAACCAAAGTTTTTAATCAGTGACGAAGAAATGCAATTGCACAACATACTGGAGAAAATAATAAGATAGCATGCAAAAAATTCTGATGTTGATGTTCAAGAAGAAACGACATTGTATTTTTGCGATGAAAATGAAATTTATCCAGAGGCTATTGAGTACATGGAAAACGAAGAATCTGAGGATTTTCTAGAAGAATTAAATAATGCATGTGAGCAAGACAAAATTGACTTTAAATATAAAGAAGAAGCAGTAAAGTTTTGGTTGAGTGGAAAAGGTAAGCCTTATTCATTTAATACTGTAAAGCACAAATACAAACAAGTAACTAGCGAGCGACAATTACGACAATGGAAACAGCAAGTTGATGCAGGAGGCAGTAGATATGATAAATTATTCAAGATATCAGAATATGTTTTTAATAATTTTAATGAAGCTATGATATCGAAGATGACTGTACATGATATTGATTTGAAAAGATGGGCTTTACAAAAAAAAAGCTGAAATAGCTATGCCTTTGTTCAAAGCATCGAATTGGTGGATCTGGCAATTTAAAAAAAAACATAATATAGTATCTCGAAAAATCACTAAATTTGCTACAACGGATTCATTGAAAAATATTGATGAAATTGAAAATCAATGTGAAACTTTTAGAGTTGAAATTAAACAATTGCTTACAAGATACAGTGCAAGCAATGTATATAATTCTGATCAGAGCGGATTTAATTTGGAGATTCACAGTGGTAGAACATTAAATTATAGAGGACTGAATGAAATTCAAAGCGAAGCACAATCACTGTCTTCCTTAACACACAGCTACACTATTTAACCTGTTATATCAGCAGAGGGTAATTTGCTTTCACCTTTATTTTTAGTATTGAAAGAAGCAAGTGGAGACTTTGAGCCTCGAGTTAGACAGACATTATTTACACCAGAAAATGTATTAATACGAGCTTCTACATTTGGAAAGCTTTCTAAGCAACTGCTTCAGACGTGGATGCAAGAAGTATTTTTAAAAAATACTGGGAATTCATCGGTCTTAATTTTAGACTCGTGGAGTGGGCAATGTAATAATACCGTACAAGAAGTTGTACCGGAACAAGTAAGTTTAATGGTAATGACAATACCGCCTGGCACTACAGGTAAAATTCAGCCTTTGGATGTTTATGGTTTTCGATTCTGGAAGAATTTTGTAAGAAAGCTATCTGATTTTATTATTTTAATGCAATACAATATCAATTTACACGAAAGAAATTTTATCATAAAAATGCAATCCCTCGTACATAATCAGTTATCTTCTCCGAGGTATTATAATACTTTTAAGTATGCATGGTTCAAAAGTGGTTATATTGATAGACCTCCAAAATTTGATAATCTTGTTGAATTTTGCTTTGCCATAAAAGAAGAACCTGTATGTACCTACGAAGATAACATTGCAATTATAATTTGTAGTTGGTGTGAAAAAAAAGTTGCTTCAATCATTTTTTTACAGAATATCATTATTGTAAGAATTATATACTATAATTATATAAAATAATTCTCAAAAATATCAAACATATATACGGGATAAATAGAAAGTTGTATTTTATATATGTTAATGTTTATATGAATGTAATTATTAAAAAAAATAAATAAATAATATTTATAATAAACAAAATATATAATAAAATGTTTTTTATTGCCATTTTGGGACTCAAAATACAAATTTTTTCGATAAAATTTGATATCACGTTTGAACGTGTAATTTCCCCCATAATTCGAATCTGCCATAAGCAACAGTAGTTTCCATTTAAAATTTTCAAGTTGAGCCAGATTTGGGCCAATTTTTGGAATTGGACCCAAAAAACTGAGTTTCCCATTTGTAAGAACGAAAAACATTACAAAAGAAACACTATAAATCTTTTCAAGTGCAAAAAAAAACGACTTTTACACATATTTGAGGTTATGTAAGATCATAAGATAATTTTTTTCGGTCAAAATAATTAATATATCTTAAAGTATGAGTCTTTCCCTTCAAAATGAATTTTGAATCGTTCAGATATCTTTTTCTTTCACCGAGATATGATAATTTGAATTTAGCGTCTCGCCAACTTATCCACTTCAAGCGTATGTAGATAATTATAATTGGCAACCCTGTTTTTACCACCTAAATTACCGTATGGGCCGCTACAAAAAAATACGTGTCCAATATTTTTCGATACTCTAATCGTATGCAAAGTTTGAAGAAAATCGGTGACGGACACCTCCCTGCCTTCCCTATCGGACCACCCTCGTAGTTCCACTGTGAAGATTATTGTTTTGTTTGAGGATCATAACCATACACCTATAATTCATCATGAGTAATAACCTTTTGAAGTACAGTATTAAAGCAAAGAGAAACTAATTCTAAACTTACCCTTTCCATGTCGACAAAATCGACATCAAGTTTGGTACCTTCAGCGCCACCCATTTTTTCGGTCATGTACTGAAAAAATACAAATTTTTTAAATAATACTTCATTTTAAATGTGTTTTATCTAACTATAAAAATATTTGATCATATATATACCAGTTTGTTATTATAACTGAGTTAAAAATGTTGAAAGAGCGTGAAGCTTGTTAAAAATGTTCTTCTTTAAATTTTCATATTAGAAAAATGTTTATATAAAACACTTTTTAGTAAGAAGTGTTGTAATACAAAATTATTGTTAACGTATATAAATATTTATTTATTTATTTAATTTATTATTATTCATAGTTTCAATAGGTCGTTATTTATGTACTTTAGCTCAGACAATTATGAATACGATCGAGGAAGAAATAGTAAAAGATCAAAGTAATAAGAGAGTCGAAACTTTAATCCGACGATGCAAAGATAGTAATTGTATCGGCCATATTCGCCATTGGCTGCCTCAATTTTGGTATTCAAAAATATTTCTCATTCTTAATGAAGTCAGATTTTCTTACAGGTGACAATCAAACTGTAAATAAGATACCTTATGAATCCTCTGTTACACTGCTCTGTCTAAAAATTTACTTCCCACGTAGCAAATAGGAAGACAACCAAAGATGATTCACTATCAATTGTATCAACTTTAATATAACCCATGAGCATGATCAACCTTTAGACTATTGGACCACTATTACATCGAAGAAATCTTCTCAGGTGGAATAGTGTAACTTGTTACGTCTCATGCATCAACTACGAATAGCTAATGAATGAGACGTTCCAATATGTTGACTAGTGGTTGGATATGTCTCACTTATAATAAATGTATGTGGAAATGTATGTCTGATAATTGCACTACCTATAACTGTCTGAGTAATTTGTTCATTCCTTTTTATATCTTTTATAGCTCTTTTCAGGTCAGTATTGCAATATGGTGTGACATTTTGTTTTTGCTGAATATAAATTTTTGCGTTTGGTGACTTTATTTAGGAGTGTCATTTACCTTGTGTTTCGTCAGCTTTTTGCTGACGTGCGAGTAGTTTAGCACTTTATTTCGGAGTGTCATTCACCTCGCATTTCGTCAGCTGACGTGCGAGTAGGTTAGCAGCTTTGAATTTCACGAATGTGCATTTGTTACAAAAAGGATGCGTCGTAAGACGTAACAAACTTATTCATTATTTGAGAGCCATCTGAACGGTAAACTCCGAACACGACAGCGTAGGCTGAAAATTGTTTTTTATATCGTTATTAGCGATAATAAATAATTATTTATTACATGAAACTAAATCGATTTTATTATAAAATTTGTTTGTGCTTGTTATACATACAAAAGTGTTAGGAGAAGGGAGTTACTATCTATAAACTATCTCCGCGGTATTTTAAAATAAAAATTTGAATTTTACGGCGTATGGTTGATGAATGCTTAAATCAATATCAAATATGTTACCTCTATCGGCAAATTATCTTTTCTTATTGATGACATCGGAAAACGAATGCAAAATTACAAAGAATACGCTCAGAATGATAAATTTAAAGGAATCTATTGTGCTTAAACACACTCATAAAAGGAGATTTAACCAGAGAGTTATAGCAGATAATCATAGATGTTGCCCAAACTTGCTAGTGACCTTCTACTGTATATAAATAAAAGTTCCTCTTTAGATTCTATCTCATGAATCTCTGTTTAAAAATAATCGAGAATTATATATATAACATCAAAAACTGAGCTTTCGCTTTAAACTGTAGAAATAAAAAAAAAAAATTATTATACCGTTATTTGAGACTTACTAATAACACAGACCGACATCCAAAAAACTTAGAAACACGATAGTGTATTTCAAAAGGTATTCAATGTGCTGAATCCGAATCTGGTTTAAGAATTGATCCATCATCTAAGGTTTTCGGAATATCCTAACCTTAAAGTGCAAAAATCACAATTATTTGCTGTATTCGAAATTATATTAAACTATAAATAAATTTTTGTCCAAAAACCAATAAAACCATCACAAAAACAGCACTTTTATCTTTTATGCCTCACTTTATTTATTAGAAATATTTTTCATATCCATGCTATGAAAATGCAGAGTAATCTAATATAGGCCCCACAAAAGGAAAGACTATCAGATCTTAAGGAGTCTGTCTTCCCCGAATGAGCCTACCAATTCAAGTTATTCAGCAGCTAATAAACAACAAGAGGCTTTCATGAAAATCAAGAATATCATGATCTCAATCCTTAAATTATTACGCTATTTGAAATATCACGGGCCAAAAGTTGCATAATTATCATCCCGACACATGACTGAACTCTTGAAGGATAAAGAAGTATGAAAACGTGTAGTATCACTGGAGCAAAAGGCTAAAATGTTAGCCGAATGCCATGCCAGTACGACTAGAGTGAGAGAAGATCCTCGCTATAGTATTCCGATTCTACTTCTGGCTTGATATCGTCAAGGACGTAAAATAATACGTGTAAGATAACAAAGTATGCCGGTAATACAAGGTAAACAATCGAAGGTTTTTCAGCTGATGAGACGCTTATGAACGTAGCGCCTATCATGTCGTGACTGGTGACATAAATCTTTTTTCTAAAGTCTTAGGGGCTATAAGAGTTTAAAAATCACTCGGTTGAGAAGGTAGAGCAGGCTGTCGAGTCAGGTCTAACACTTAGTTATATAACCTGGAAGTAAATCCAATCTAGCAGTGTAAAAACACGCTGAAAACTATAATAATATCGCTAATCTCATATATAAACAATGGTTAAGGAAAATCCCTCATGTAATTAATACAACACTCTTGAAATTTCTCAACGTTTCGCCATAAATTCATGGCCTCTTCAGGAAAAAACTATAGAAAACCTAAGTCATAGTAATGTTAATTAATAAAATATTTTTACGATTCAGAAACAAACCGAAAAGTCAGAGATATAAATGAACTGTTCATTTTCCGCAGCTCAAGGCGTTTCGGCGAAGTTGGCGCCTAAGTATGCTTAACTGCTGAACAATATAACTCTCCCAGGCGGCCGAGGGGTCGGCCGCAAGAAAAGGGGAGGAATAAAACCCCCCCAGGGTCTCCTGGCCAGCGGCGAGAGGGTCAGCGGAGGAAAATAGACTACTCCCAACCGATTAAGTGCTCGTCTTGTGGCAAACTAGGCTTTACCAGAAGGTACTGCCCGGATTGCAACAAGGGAGACGGGCAGGGAAGCGGAGGACGGAGGTCCCCTCCGCGTCCCCAGTAAAGGTGACCTCTCGTCGCGGGTCGCTGGATCGGGGCAGGGGCCCGCCAGCGACCCCAGGGTTCAGGAAGGTCTCGCCAGGGATATCGGACCCTACGAGACCTGGCAGTGCGGTGGCGTTGGAAGCGACAGCGACCGAACAAATGCCTGATCTGGGTAACCGAGCATTTTGTATCCTCGAAGGGTACGGAGGCCGGATTCAGGTGGTGGAGCAGGGGTTTGAATGGGTCGGAGAGGAGACCATCAGACCCAAAAGCTCCAGGAAACCACCTGACACTCCGGAGGATACGCCGGCGACCCAGACATCTGCGGGTGAGAGCACGTCGATGCGAGTAGCGGCTGCCCAAGGCAAGAAGAGCCGTGAAAGCCTCCCGTCCACAGAGGGGAGAGAGACGGCGAAAGCTCCCCGCAGGTATAGACCCGAGGATGAGACCAGATGGTGGCTTCAGGTGGGGATAGGTGCCTACAAGTTAAGGGCACTCTACGACACCGGGTCCTCATCGACGGTAATGGGTCAACTCGGGCTTAGGTTGGCATCAGACATGGGGTTGGGCCTGGACGTCACGCGTGCGGGAGAAGCGAAGCTCGCCGACGGTCGCCCATGTCCCATCTTGGGTCATGTGATTTTCCCCTTCACGGTAGGGGGAATCACAAAAGACGTAAGGGTCGCTATAACGCCACTGCTGTCTGATGACTGCTATGTCGGCGCAAATTTCGTAAGGGAATTCAGCGCCAACCTGAACCCTGACACGGACCAGCTGTACTTGGCGAAAGCCAAAGTGGCGGTACCGTTGGAAGTGGCAAGCGTCACTGGTACGTCGTGCCTCGCACCCGTAGGCCTGGTAGAAGCCACGGAAGCACAGCGCCAAGAAGTGGCTAGCCTCGTCGATGGATTAATTCCAGACGGAGGCGAGTGTTTAGGCTGTGCTGTGGGGGTTGAGCATGAGATAGACATCGGAGACGCTCGACCCTGTAAACAAAAATACTACCCGGTCTCCGACAGGGTGCGAGACGAAATGCACGCGCTGGTCAAGGCCATGCTGGACAACGACGTCATTGAACCAGCAACCAGCGGGTGGTCAAGTCCAGTGGTGATGGTTAAGAAGGCAGATGGCAAATATCGGTTCTGCGTAAATTACCAGAAGGTAAACGCAGTAACCAAGCCGGACGCCTATCCATTACCCTTCACGAGTGACATCCTGCGAAGGATCAGGGATGCGAAGTTCATCTCGACACTGGACTTGAGTAGCGCGTACCACCAGATACCTCTTAAAAAGGAGTCGCGCCCCATTACGGCGTTCACAGTCCCCGGCCTGGGGCATTTTCAGTTCAAGAGAATGCCCTTCGGATTGTCTTACGCCGGCGCGACCTTCCAGAGGTTGATGGACAGAGTGATTGGCCCGGATTTAGATCCTTTTGCTTTTGCGTACCTCGACGACGTGATTATTATCTCGCCGTCCTTTGAGGAGCATAAGCGACACCTGGGATTGGTTTTACAACGAATCCTGGGTGCGGGCCTCACTGTGAATAAGACCAAAAGCCACTTCTGTAAGTCGGAAGTCAAGTACCTGGGGGTCCTGGTGAACCGTGAAGGGGTAAGGCCAGATCCAGAGAAGATAAAGCCCATTATGGAGTACCCAGTACCACGGACGATCAGACAGGTGAAGCGGTTCATGGGGATGATGTCGTGGTATCGTCGCTTCATACCCGACTTCGCAACCATCGCTGAGCCGATAAACCGCCTGACGAAGAAGAGCATCCCGTTTGCGTGGCAGCAGGAACAGGAGCAGGCTTTCGAACGGTTA